GCTTTGCTTCCTGCAAAGGTTTCGTCATCTTGGCCTGACTTTTTTATCCCTTATGGGAGGGGCAGTCACCTCCCAGCCTTACGTCCGAGTCGTCCCTTGTCTCAGCTGCTCCCGCCTTCTAGCAGCTCTGCGCACACGCGCACTTGGAACAGGCTCCCTCTGCTCCTCTGCCTTGCTGCTGCCAGACTCCAGAGGCAGCACCCCACTCTGAGACGGTCCTGGCTCCATCCCTGCAGCGGACGCAGGACCTTCATCCGAGTCCTCTCCAGACTCCTGGACTGGTCCTCTTTCTTCCTCACCGTCCAATTCCGCCGCCTTCTGCACCGGCTGCCAGCGAACCACCACAGAAAGGTTTCAAAATAGGGCATAAACTCACTTAAACTGTCTCGGCTAACAACAGAAATTTGGGGACATCATTACGGTTGCAAGCCGCAGTGGGATCCTACCTGTTCTACTACCGGTTTGGCGATCGCGCGTGCCTTTTTCCCCCACACCAGCTGAGGCCCCGCAGCACCGATCAGCTGAGAGAATAAAGAAGAGGAAAGCGCAGGGGCGAGAGAAGAGCTGATCTTGCACTTTTCTTTTTCCTCTCAGCTGATCGTCGGAGGCCTTTTTTTTTTTTTTTTAAACTACCGGGCCGAACCGGTAGCATACCACTCCTGGTTGTAAGGCTACCTGCACTGCAGCTTGTCCATGGCATCACCCTTCCGTAACGGTTGCAATTGGTCGATTACCATTTTTTCCTTAAAACCGCTCGTAGCATTGAAGTCGTCTGCGTTCGGGATAATTGGGCCTCTTTTATCAGTCAAGAGAGAGAGAAAAAAAAAAGAATACAAAAATATACAACCAATTACACATGTTACGTCTAGGTCGGAGTTCCCCCCCAACGTGTCCGGCTTTGCAAGGACCAGCGGGAGCGTGAGATGGGTCCAGGGGTGTGATTCCAACCCGGTGTAACAACCGGTTTGGTGAGCACGTGCGCCCCCGTCTTTTAAACAGCCCGTTTTCACCTCCGACTGCAGCCCGTGGAGGCACGGCCGAACCGCTCTGCCATGCGAATCGGCTGTGCTCTAAGCCAGTGGTTGCCAACTGGAGAGCTGGGGACCACTGGCGGTCCGCAAGAAAGTTTTGGTGGTCCGCAGAGAAATGTCCCCCCCACCCCTCAAAGCAATTAATCCAGGATGTGCAGGAACACAAGGCTGCGCCGCCCACCCATCCACGGGACCCTCACCCTTTGGCCGAGCGCAAACCTTACCTTGAGTAGAGCCACACGAGAACTGGAACTGGAAGGTAAGACCAACGGCAGGGGAGGGAAATCCGCCCCTGGGGTGGCTTGCGGACGATGGTGGGACCGTCGGTGCCCTATTCCAGAGCTGCAGGAGTCCCAGGACTGGTGCTTGGGTCACTCTGGAGCAGCTCCTCCAGTCCGTGGCAGGCCGGTGTAACCGGGTGGAGGAGCAGCTACTCCGGGGTGGCCCAAGGGCCAGTCCTGGGTCTCCTGCAGCTCTGGAATATGGCACCGACTTTCCCACCAACGTCCGCAAACCACCATCCGTCAAAATATCATCTTAGAGGTCCGCGGGATTTCAAGTTATACGAGTTTGTCGGTCCCTGAGGTCCAAAAAGTTGGCGACCCCTGGACTAGATTACAGATATAATTTTTTTTCCATTTGATTTGACATAGCCAGGAAGTCTGCAAAGTCTGCATTATTGGTTCTATTAACACACACACACACACGCACAGATGTACATACACAGAAAAGCACGCACGGTCATCTCCATTTGCACCAACTTTTTCCCTTCCCTTCCCGTGGGACCAGTTTAAATGAGGTTGTCACACACCCACACGCCACTTTGTACAGGGAAAACAGAAACAAAGAATACACGTGCCTCCTTCTTATCACATCGGGAAGATTTGTTTTGTGTTCTCATCTTTCGAAAAAGTTTCCCAATCGCCTGGTGTCATTAGCACTTAATTTCTCCAAATCTTGATTGGCATCTCTTGGCTAAAGTTCAGTCCGGGAATTGCATGTGGGAAGTCTAGAGAAAAGAAGGACCAGGGGAGACAGGATGGCAGAGTCTTCCAATATTTGAGGGGCTGCCCCCCCAAAGAAGAAGTGGGTCAAATTATCCCCCAAAGCCCCTGAAGGCAGGACAAGAAGCAACGGATGTACTAATACCATTCTATGAAGCCTTGGTAAGGCCAGTCTTGGAATACTGTGTCCGGTTTTGGTCCCCACACTATAAAAAAAGATATTGAAACTCTGGAAAGAGGGCAGAGAAGAGCAACCAGGAGGATGAGAGGACCGGAGGCTGAAACATACGACGGACGGTTGCAGGAACTGGGCCTGGCTGATCTAGGGAAGAGAAGGACCAGGGGAGACAGGAGAGCATCTTCCAATATTTGAGAGGGTCAAATATTCCAATATTTGAGGAGGGGGTCAAGCTATCTTCCAAGGCACCCAAAGGCCAAACAAGGAACAATGGATGGAAACTGACCAAGGAGAGATTCAACCTGGAAATAAGGAGGAATTTTCTGGGAACAATCAACTGATGGAACATAAGTTGCCTTCAGAAGTTGTGGGAGCTTCATCCCTGGATGCTTTCAAGAAGAGACTGGACTCCCACCCGTCAGACATGGTGTAGGGTCTCTTGGTTGGGTGGAGGGGGGGGGGTTGGAGTGGATGACCTAGAAGGTCCCTTCCAACTCTGATTATCTATCTGTTAAACTAACCAAGGGAAAAAGCAACCTGGAATTATGGAGAAACTTCCTCACCAGTGGAACAGCTCGCCACCAGAAGCTGCGGCTGCCCAGGTCAACCCTGAACTACAAATATTCTTCCGATTCAAATTCTGGGAGATCCTGGGTGCTTCCTGTGAGCTTGGTGGGTCTTCTTGGGAGACTTTTCATGACCCCCAACCAGGTAACATGGGAAGAGGGTCCTCGGCTCACCGAGGCCGCTTGGTATGCGAGGTTTGGGCGGCCCGGCACTCTCTCTCCCGGAGAAACACTGACCTCGAACCCCACCGAAGTCTCAAGTCTGGAGCAATGCCGGACTTTTTGACTTGGGTGACGGGGAGCAGAGTTGGAGCCACGAGGCTGAGGGGCTCCGGGCCTGGAGAGACCGATGTTGGTCCTCCTGGAGTTGCCCCTTTGGAACCAAGATCTTTTTTTGGCCAGGTGACTTGTTGGGATCACTTTCAGCTTGCCCGAGAGTACCTGGGCATAAGAAAGGAACATGTCGTCAACTCATAAGACGTTTTCTATGCCTGTTTTATAGTTGCCAACGGAAAGAAGTGGGGGAAGAGTTTCAAAGAGGAGGCGGCAGTGTGGAATCGAAAGAACATCCCACTCGTATTTTCTTCGAAGACGGATTGGATGGCTGCGCAAAAATCTAACTGGAGAGCATGACCGATGACTCTTGGCTATGGGCGTGTCTTTTTGGGAGAATATGAACGGGGATACACCCAGAGGGGTGGGGGACAAAACCAGGGTCAAGGGTGATGGTCAATTACGTGTCCAAGAGTTGGCTGCGCCCAGGTCGTACCGACACGTTAACTCCCAATAAATCCTTCTGGAATTTGGGACGTTTGGCTCGGGACTCCGGGTTTGATCGAATTCTCGTGGCACTAACGTCAGCCGGGAGGGTTTCTGAACTGGCAGGCCGCTCAACCGGGCAGGAACAGGGTGGTTTGATTAATCAGAGGGTAACTGTCGGAATCCTGACACATATACATGCCCTCGGGGGAACTTCCATCATGGCGCCCCATCTTCAGTGGTTAAAATAAGGGCTACGTGAGGAAGCGTCCAGCCCTCCTGATCTGGGCACTAAGAATGCCAGGGGGGGTGGGGGACGTGTGTGTGTGGACCGTGATGGAGCCAGGGCTGAGCAGGGCGGGGCTGTTGGGGAGCGATCCCATCCGACGGGCGGGGCGGGGGTTGTTGGGCGGTGGCGGCCAGGATTCGTGGCCCCTTGACGGGGCGTCTCGACAGACAGGCAGACACCAGCGAGGGCCGTATTTTGTAGTTTTATATACAGAATACAGGAAAAAAAGTTTCCGTAAAGCCTAAAACATAGCAATTACTTCTGTACATTAGAACTCAGCTGCTGAGAGAACAGGGCGGGTGGGTGGGTGGGGAGGAAGGGGGAGAGGAGAGGGGAGGGGAGGGGGAAGTCTTGGAACAGAAGGGCAAAAAACAGGGATTACGACAAAAAACGCTTTGCTACAATTAAGACAACCGGAGGCAACGTCATACCACATGTACCACTGTACATAGCTTTTAAAAAACACTGAAAAAAATGCCATCAGTTGATGTATTTACACAGCGCCCAAAATACTTCTCGTCATCGGAAAACAGGTGTGTATGTGTGTGTGTGTGTGTGTGTCTGGTTGGGGAAATGATGCCGGGGGGGGGGGGGGGGGGGCCTGGGGCCCCCCCCCCCCGCCCCCAAAGGGCCGGGGGGGGGGGGGAGGGGAGGGGAGAGGCACAGAAGGGGGGAGGAGGGGGGGGGGGGGGGAAGGAAGGAAGGAAGGAAGGAA